TGAGGCAGGAGAATTGCTTGAACCTGGGAGGCAGAGGTTGCAGTAAGCCAAGATCATGCCACTGCACTCCAGCCTGGGTGATAGAGCAAGACTTTATCTCTAAGAAAAAAGAGCTATCCAGTTTGTTTCTCCCGCAAGTTCATCATTAGTTCACCAACTCCATGCTGCAGTCACACTCAACATGCCAGGCATGTGGCAACCAACAGTTCTGCACCTTGACTGCAGTGGTGGTTAACAGTGTCGATTTCATGGTATTGGTATTATAACATAGTTACGCGAAATGCTACATTGGGAGAGGAGGGCTGATGGGTGCCTAGCACCTCCCTGTATGTATATTTTTTACAACTTCCTGCTACTCTACCATTATTTCAAAATAAAACAAGTGGCTGGGTGTAGTGGCTCAAGTCTGCAATCCTAGCACTTTGGGAGGCTGAGGCAGGCAGATCACTCAAGCCCAGAAGTTCAAGACCAGTCTGGGCAACATGGCGAAACTCCATCTCTGCAGATAATACAAAAATTAGTCAGGTGTGGTGGTACGTTCCTGTAGTCCCAGCTACTTGGGGATTACGGGTCCAAGTTGAGGCTGCAGAGAGCTGGGATCGTGCCATTGCACTCCAGCCTGGCTGACAGAGAAAGACCTTGTGTAAAAAAATAATAATAATAATAATAATAATATTAAAATAAAATGTGCCAGGTCTCTTGTGTTTTTCTCTCTTTTCTCAGAACATTATCATTCTCATATATACCTTCTAGACCTTCCTCATTCTTCAAAATCAGCCCACTCATCATTGCTCAGCACCAAATAGGCACTCAATAAATGTTTGATGAATAGGCAAATGAATGGTCCCTGTTATTTATGTGATAAAGAATTAATAAACCAGCAAAATTTAACAGTTAAAAGCATAAGCTTGGAAGTCAGGCTGCCTGACTATAGTTCTATACTCTCTGTGTTTCTAAGCACCTCTGAGCTTCGTCTCCTCATCTTAAGTAGGAATAGCATGCACACCGTAGGATCATTATGAGAATTCAATGAGTTAATACACACAGAGTGCTTACAACGCTGCATGGGCACAAGTAAGCTTTCAAAATTGGGCTTTTGGCCAGGTGCAGTGGCTCACGCCTGTAATCCCAGCACTTTGGGAGGTTGAGGCAGGTAGATCACAAGGTCAGGAATTCAAGACCAGCCTGGCCAACATAGTAAAACCCCATCTCTACTGAAAAATACTAAAATTAACCGGGCGTGGTGGCACATGCCTATAATTCCAGCTACTTGGGAGGCTGAAGCAGGATAGTCGCTTGAACCTGGTGGGTGGAGGTTGCAGTGAGCCGCAACCCCACCATTGCACCCTAGCCTGGGCAAAAGAGCGAGACTCCATCTCAAAAGGGGGGGCTTTTTATTATATCTGGGATAGCTTTTCCAACCTGTCTCCAAACATATCACTATCCCCCACTTTCCTGCATGTACCCAAAACATCCCATGCTTCTCCTCCACCCACTCCCAGGCCTCCATCTTGCCACCAGCATCATCTTATCATACTGTGTCCTGGTTATCTACTGCTGTGTAACAAATCACTCCCAGAGTAGTGGCTTAAAACAATACCATTTATTTTGCTCAAGAATCAACAGTTTGGGCACCCTCTGTAAGAACGACCTTTTTTTTTTTTTTTTTTTTGCTCTAGATGATATCAACCCAAGTGGCTCAAAGGCTGGGGGATGGGTCTGAAGCCATATTCACTCACATGCCTGGTGCTTGATGCAGGCTGTCAATTGAGACCTTAGCTGGGGCTGAAAACACAGACACATGGCCTCTTTGTGTATACTGGGCTCCCTCATGGCATGATGGCCGAGCTCCAAGGGCAAATGTCTGAACAGAAAAAAAGCCAAGTACAAGCTATATCACCTTTTATGACCTAGCCTCAGAAGCCACCTGGTGTTACTTCCTCTACAATCTAGTCATCAAGGCAGTCACAAAGGTCCTCCCAAGTTCACAGTAACAGGAAATAAACTCCAACTCTTCTTTTTTTTTTTTTTTTTTTTTTTTTTTTTGAGATGAAGTCTCTCTCTGTCAACCAGGCTGTAGTGCAGTGGCAGGATCATAGGCTCACTGCAACTTCCGCCTCCTGAGCGCAAGCAATTCTCCTGCCTCAGCCTCCTGAGTAACTGGGATTACAGGTGCCCATCATCTGGCTAATTCTTTTTGTATTTTTAGTAGAGATGGGGTTTCACCATGTTGGCCAGGCTGGTCTTCAACTCCTGACCTCAGGCGATCCACCTGCCTTGGCCTCCCAAAGTGCTGGAACTACAGGCCTGAGCCACTCTTGATGAGGGAGTAGCAAGGTTCTGGCAATGTGGGATCAGAGATATGACTGTACTAACAGTGTGTTTTACTTTCTGTATCTTGATGCTTTGACATCTGGGGTCTTGCCATCTCTGAAAGGACTACTCCCTCCAGGATTAGCCAATTCCTAGAGACAGTAAAGAAGCTCAAGTTCTAACTCCTCAGGACAGAATTCAAGACCCCTCCAATCAGGCCTCAGTCTAACTTCCTAACTTCCCCCTCTGTAGCCCCCCTACAAACTGCTCCGACGGTTTACCCAATGTCCCATTCTCCAAAGACAGCTTGCAATTACTCTTTACTGGATCTCTTGCTCACCTTTCAAAGTCCAGCCTGAGCCCCAGCTCCTCCATGCTGCTCCGTGCTCCTCCGTGAAGCCATTCCCATTCACAGGGATGCATGTCCTTTCTGAACTCTGTCTCGCAGCATTCATTCTCTGCACCAGTCCCTTTATTGCTTGGTTATGCAACAGATCTACCTATGTTGTTAATTAGATTCTGAGGATTAAAGCTCTAAGGAACTCTAAGAGATTATTTTGTTCAACACCCTTAATTTGAAGCGAGGAAAGCAGGCCTGAGCGATCACTTGCCCAAGGTCCCAGCACTCATTAATGGCAGAGGAAGGAATAGAAGCCACAAACCCATATCTACTCTAGTCTCTTTCCTTAACACCGGGTTGCCTCTATTCAGCTATTTTAAATGTGTTAGCCCTGTCCCCAGCAGAGTTTTGAAGCTGTATCAGGGCAGCAAGAACTACATCTCACGTCACTTATATCCTGACAACATCCAGCAATGTCTTAGTCAATCTATGTTGAAACCATAAAAACACTTCTAGGTCATTCATTTACCCACTAGGAACTGAGTTTTTTGTTTGTTTGTTTTGAGACAGAGTCTTGCTCTGAAGTCCAGTGGTACAATGTCAGCTCACTGCAACCTGTGCCTCTGGGGTTCAAGCGATTCTCATGTCTCAGCCTCCCAAGTAGCTGGGACTACAGGCACACACCACCACACTCAGCTAATTTTTGTATTTTTAGTAGAGGCAGGGTTTTACCATATTGGCCAGGCTGGTCTCGAACTCCTGGCCTCAAGTGATCTACCTGCCTTGGTCTCCTGGGATTACAGGTATAAGCCACTGCACCCAGCCTTGAAATGTTTAAGAATAAAATATTTTTCTCCTTTTTTAATACAGAATATCTTTCTCATGAATTTTCTAAAAGTACATTAAGCAAACCAGAACAAAAGGTGGGTAATATACTTGAAGAAACTTAGCCAATTCAACTTTTGCAACCTCAGAAGCACGCTCCATTTACTTCTTGGACCTAACTGTGTTCCCACCATAAATTGAACCAGATACACTTACTCTAATTTTATCTCAACTTTGCAGGCAGATTGTAACCCAGGGTTGGTTTAGTTCATCTATTTCCTAGTGCATCAATCCATTGCTCTTGCTGTCTCAGCCGTGTGGGCATTCTTTCAGTTGGAACATACATAGGCTGCTTTCTCCTCCCAAAGCAACAAAGCAAGAAAGAGAAAAAGCAAGCAAGCAGGCAAGAAAGAGAAAAGCAAGCAAACACAGCTTCCACCTCTTCCCTTATAGAAACAGAGCCGCTTGAGAGTGCCTATAGAATCTACTTAGAGGGGTTATTTTGCAAATGTCCCCTTATAGCTAGGTCATAATACAGCTCTCCTCCAGCAGAAAAGCTCTGCTTTCTGGGAGTCTGTTCCCTCCCCAGCCTAATGGATTCTATCAGGGGCAGGATGTGGCTTTTGCCATCACGGGCCATAAAACCCAAGAGTAATGGCTGCAGTGATTGGGGCCTCCTGCCGGCCCATCCGCACTGGGGTTTGATGGTGAGGAGAAGAGAAGGGAAAACTGGCAAAAGTTCTGAGTACTCAGTAACTTTTCAGAGGTAAGATGAGAGAGAAAGAGACCTAGAACCATAATTGCAGAAGCCTCTTGCAAAATTTAATTAAAACTTAGGCGGAAACGAACACCAGAAACAAGTGTCATTCATCAACTTAAAACGCCAACTAAGGTAAACACTGCCACAAACTCAGGAAAAGAAAGGGGGGAGGATGGAAAGAGGGGTGATCACTCTAGATATCAAGCAAATCAAATTACCCTAAAGGCCCTGCCAGACACATGCATTAATCATTGGTTATCCCAGCTGTACACCTGTATGGAGAGGCGCACTTGGCGTGTTCAAAATGACTCCGGCTGGCAAAGTGGGAAAGCAGAAGGGACAGGGCGGCAGGCCAATGGGAACCCACGTGGCACCCATGGCTTTGCACCAGCCAGGTGAAGGGAGAGGGAACCGGAAGATTCAGGCCAGGGCGTGTAAACATCTCCAGCTCTCCAGTCCTGCATCTTTTTTTTTTTCTTTATTATGATGGGGTTTCACCATGATGGCCAGGCTGGTCTTGAACTCCTGACCTCAGGTAATCCACCCACCTCAGCCTCCCAAAGTGCTAGGATTACAGGCGTGAGCCACCATGCCCGGCTTCCTGCTTCATTCCTAAGGTCACTGTGAGACTGCCTGTTAAACCACCCTGGGCAGCACATACCTGGAGGGGCCACAAAGTACTCCTCCACGACACGGTGGGAGTTTTGTAGTAATTCATCAGCACAGTTGCCTTCTACTACATTGTCGGATCTCAGGTATAGACATCTACAAAACCCAGAAGCTCAAGGTTACCCTCTCAGAGAATGGGGCTTTTAGGGGATGATGGAGAGGGGCAAAAAAGGGAGAACAAGGAAGCAGTATATTCTTGTGTTAATAGGCACTGTTCAAAGATAGAGAAATGGATCAACAGTAGACCAAACAGCAGCCTGCAGTTGATAGATTGCCCCAACAACCCTGTGAAGTAAGTGCTAGTTACTTCTCTGGATTGATTTAACAAGTAGTTTCGGATGATTATACAGCTAGTGCTCGACTTACGACCACGATTGGGACCGGCAGACCGGTGGTAACACGATTTGGTCGTAAGTTGAGTAGGCTATATGTACAGTTGAAATGGCGCACACGGAGATGGTAGTGCTGCTGGAAGCTGGTCCGCACTGTCGTACGCCCAGCTGGGCAACGTTTGCGCTGCCAGATGCGGAGCAGTCGTGGCTAGCGATTGTGGTTGTAAAGTTGAATGGTCGTAAGTTGCATAGGTCGTAAGTCAATCAATACCTGTATGGGCAACTGCCTTTTGGTGAGGACAGGTAAAGGCAATTACAAAACAATATTTTAAATCTAACAGAGGCCGAAGTGGGCGGGTCACCTGAGGTTAGGAATTCAAGACCAGCCTGACCAACATGGAGAAAAACCCTGTTTCTACTAAAAATACAAAATTAGCCAGGTGTGGTGGTGCATGTCTGTAGTCCAGCTACTCTGGAGGCTGAACCAGAAGAATCGCTTGAACCTGGGAGGCAGAGATTGTGGTGAGCCGAGCCTGGGCAATAATAAAAACCCCGTCCCCCTAACAAAAGATTTCTTAAATCTAACAGGTTAGCACAGCCTGCCAAAGGATAGAAAGGGTACCTAGTTCAGCCTGGGTGAGTAGCACATCCTCAGAATAGCTGATGTCACTGCTCAAGGATGGGCAAGAAATAGCTGGATTGGGGGATGAAGGGATGAGAAATGGACTTCCTGGCATGTATACCAGCACGAATCCCAAAGCAAGAGAGCCCAGAGATTCAGAGAGGGGCAGGGAGTTTAGCAGGCTGGGGTGTGGTCTCCTGGGGTGGAAGATGAAGCTAGAAACCTAAGCAGAGATGGGGCAGCAAACTTGCCTCAAGAGTGACTGACTTAAGGATACTGGCTCCTAAGTGAGAAAACTGGGATCTGAGGCCAATCTGGTACCCCTAAGATGAATGCTTTTTCCACCACAGCCACTTTGGTGGATGTAAAAGTGCCTGCCCTTGAGCAAGATGTGCCACAAACAGCTCAATCTCCCAGTGTTCTATGGGTCCTAGTGACTTTACTAAAGCCTTCAGATGGCAAACCAGTAAAAACACAGGAGCTTGAACATATGCATGAAGCTTCGCTGTTGTTTCAAGGTACAAAAGTGTGTAAGCTTGCTTCCAGATATTTGGACTAAAAAAATAAGCAGTCTGTTAAATCACTGATATGGTAATCAGTAGTAGCCATGCTCCTGCTTTGAGTGGGCACAGACTGAGGGCAGAGCCTAATGGCGTTTGAGTCATGTCACAGAGGGACAAAGATGTGACAGGAACATCTGGGCTAAGGCTTCACATAAGAACAAAGTTGTCACAATAAGATTCTTTTAGAAAAGGACTAGTTTTGTGTGTGTGTGGCACCCAGCCCAAAGCTAAACACAAATATTTATTCATGGTACGAATACTAGAAGTCTATTATAGGATCTGGCACGTTCTTAACTGTGGCCTTGAACAAGTATGATCTTTTCAGTCATTAAATTTCTTGTTTTTTTTTTTAAAAAAAAAAAGCCCGGTGTGGTGGCTCCCGCATGTAAGCCCAGCACTTTGAGGGGCTGAGGCAGGTGGATCACCTGAGATCAGGAGTTCGAAACCATCCAATATGCTGAAACCTTGTTTCTACTAAAAATACAAAAGTTAGCTAGGCATGGTGGTGCATACCTATAATCCCAGTTACTCAGGACACTGAGGCACGAGAAATCACTTGAAGGATTCTCTGCTTCGTGGGAAGCAGAAGTTGTAGTGAGCAGAGATTGTACCACTGCACTCCAACCTGGGTGGCAGAGTGAGATAGTGTCTCTCACACACACAAGAGTCACACTGGATTTTTTTTTATAATAACACAAGGACTGCACTTTGTGAAAATTTGGGAGAACTAAAGTAAAAATCATACCATTCAAAGGTAACCCCTGGACTTTGGGGTTTATATTTTCTGTTGGAGAGTATTAAAAAATGACCAAGAGGTTAGGCTCTCAAGTCAGCTCAATTCAGATCCCAATGCTAACGTTACTTATCCTCTCCATATTTCAGTTTCCTTGTTTGTCAAATGCCTCAGGATTTCTGGGATGAGATGAATCTAAAAAACAAGATCTGATAGTGCCGAGCCTGCACTCACAGCAGTAAGAGAGGGGTCTGAGTGGCACCTGCTCCTTTCAGAAAGCCTTAGTGCACCCCAGTATACCCAGTCCCCACCACTCATTCAAAGTCTGCACTTGTGACCAGGCATTACCTGCCTAGCTCTGAAGGTTTTGAGAAGATTCTACTACTGCCAACAGGCGGTTAAATGCTACTGCTTCCCCAAGAGTAGATCTAATATCAGCTAATTTATTTACTCATCATCAAGTAATCAAGTTTGGTAATCAAGTTTCCTGTGTAAGTGGAATTTCCAGGAAAACAAAATTCACCCCTTTATTTACCACATATTTCCATTTAGTTACTGGTTATGATGGAGTTTTGTTCCTAAAATAGACCCATGTCTTCTGAGGTTGTCTTTTTTTTTTTTTTTTTTTTGAGACAGGGTCTTGCTGTGTTGCCTAGGCTGGTCTCAAACTTCTGGGCTCAAGTAATCCTCTTGCCTCAGCTTCCCAGGTAGCTGGGATTATAGGTGTGTACCACTATGCCCAGCTTTATTTTCTTAATTATGGGCTACTGAACCCATAGTCTCTGACAGTGGTACAGCAAGCATTCCCTTCACTTGGTGAGTTGCTTCACTTTCTTGGACCTCAGAGTTGTATAAAACACCAAACAGAACCAGATGAGCTCTTCAGATTAACTGCTGATTGACTAAGCTTCTACCTCACTTCCTGTCTTTCCTAATCAGTGTTCTGTAAGGTAAGTTAGCCCACATACCCCAAGACACCCATTCTGATGATAAATTAACTTCTCTCCTATGTGTTTGGGCTAACATTTGTCATGTACTGTCCTTGGGAGAACTGAAAAAAAGTCACTTGAAGCTTTGTGTTCTGGTTTGAATGAGGAACCCTGGTTGAGAAAGACTTCAGCTGTAAACTAGAAGTCCCTGCTGACTAAAACTCACGAACAATAACTTAAGTAACTGTGGGAAATGCTGCTACAATGGCATTGGGAAGTGTTGTGGCATCAGGGAGGATAAAGTGGCTCCATTTGTGATCCTGTCAGGCCTTGGACTGACTGATGGGACAGTTCTCCCAGTGCTTTTGTTTCCTTGAGCCTCTTCCCTGGTATCTGGCTGGAAGGAATAAATCCTTTTTTTTTTTTTTCCCCCCGCCCCCCGAGATGGAATTTCGCTCTTGTTTCCCAGGCTGGAGTGCAATGGTGCGATCTCAGCTCACTGCAGCCTCCACCTCCTGGGTTCAAGCAGTTCTGCCTCAGCCTCCCGAGTAGCTGGGACTACAGGCATGCGCCACCATGCCCAGCTAATTTTTGAATTTTTAGTAGAGACAGGGTTTCACCATGTTGACCAGGATAGTCCCGATCTCTTGACAAGTGATCCACCCGCCTCGGCCTCCCAAAGTGCTAGGATTATAAGCGTGAGCCACTGTGCCCGGCCTAGGAATAGATTCTTATGGACCCTTCTACTTCCATCTAAAAGCCTTTTCCTTTTCTCTTAGTTTATTTCAGTTTGGTGCAGACTGGAATAAAAATTATAATTATAGAGTCGGGCGTGGTGGCTCACGCCTGTAATCCTAGCACTTTGGGAGGCTGAGGTGGGTGGATCACCTGAGGTCAGGAGTTCCAGACCAGCCTGGCCATCATGGTGAAACCCCATCTTAAAAAAAAAAAAATTATAATTACACCATTCAGAGGTAACCCTTGGTTAAAAGTTCTGGCCAGGCAAGGTGGCTCACATCTATAATCCCAACACTTAGGGAGGCTGAAGCGGGTGGATTGCTTGAGCCCAGGAGTTTGAAACCAGCCTAGGAAACATGGTGAAACTCCATTTCCCCTAAAAATAAAAAAAAAGCCAGGGGTGGTAGCGTGTGCCTGTAGTCCCAGCTACTCGGGAGTCTAAGGTGGGAGGATTGTTTGAGTTCAGGAGATGGAGGCTGCAGTGAGCTGTGATTGTACCACTGCACTGCAGCCTGGGTGACAAAATGAGACCCTGTCTTGGAAAAAAAAGGTCTGGGTTCAGGCCAGGCATGATGGCTCATGCCTATAATCCTAACACTTTGGGAGGCTGAGGCAGAAGGATCCCTTGAGCCCAGGAGTTCGAGTCTCCTGGGCAACACAGCAAGACCCTCTATTTACAAAAATAAAATAAAAATAAAAATAAACCTTAGCTGGGTATTGTGGTACACACCTCTAGTCCCAGCTACTTGGGAGGCTGAGGCAGGAGGATGGGTTGAGCCCAAGAGTTTGAAGTTTTTGGTTCAAATAAGACTGAGGGACATGGGACATTTAAGTATTTGGTTGCAATCAGAGTTGCTGTAAACTCATTCTCTGGATTTCAGATGAAAGAGAATAAAGTTCCTAGGAACTGACTTTAGCTGGCATCTCTTAGAGCAGTATTTGGGAGCAGAAGCTCTGAGTTCCAAACCCTCCATTTATTACTGTGAAACTCTGGGCACATTACATAACCTTTCTGAATCTCAGTTTTTCCCATCTATAAAACAGATAACTTGTATTGACCTTCTAGGACTGTATGTAAAAACCGAGCCCCTCTCACGTAAGTACACTGATGTTTTTAGCTCCAACCAAGTGACATTAGTGTGCAAAGAGATTTCTATTAACCAGTCAGGGCGTTTTTTTCTTTTTTTGGAGACCAAGTCTCACTCTGTTGCCCAGACTGCAGTGCAGTGGCGCTGTCTCGGCTCACTGCAACCTCTGCCTCCTGGGTTCAAGCTATTCTTCTGCCTCAGCCTTCAGAGTAGCTGGGACTATAGTCACATGCCACCATGCCCTGCTAATTTTTGTAATTTTTGGTAGAGACATGGTTTCAGCATCTTGGCAAGGCTGGTCTCAAAATCCTGACCTCAAGTGATCTGCCCAGCTCAGCCTCTCAAAATGCTGGGATTACAGGCATGAGCCATCATGCCTGGCCAAGTCAGGGCTTTTATAGCTAAGATGGCTACTACCTAAAACCATTTAAGCAACTTGGGATCCTGCAAAGAAGGATGGTGAGAAGAATATTGGCCATTTTGCCATCAACTAAGTGGTGACCCAAGAGGACACCATCAACATTCATAGGCATATCCACTGAGTGGACTTCAAGCAGCATGCCCCTCAGGCTCTTAAAGAGATGGGAAATTTGGCCGGGCGCGGTGGCTCAAGCCTGTAATCCCAGCACTTTGGGAGGCCGAGGCGGGTGGATCACGAGGTCAAGAGATCGAGACCATCCTGGTCAACATGGTGAAACCCTGTCTCTACTAAAACTACAAAAAAATTAGCTGGGCATGGTGGCGCGTGCCTGTAATCCCAGCTACTCAGGAGGCTGAGGCAGGAGAATTGCCTGAACCCAGGAGGCGGAGGTTGCGGTGAGCCGAGATCGCGCCATTGCACTCCAACCTGGGTAACAAGAGCGAAACTCAGTCTCAAAAAAAAAAAAAGAGATGGGAAATTTGCCACGAAGGAGGTGGAAAACTCCAGATACGTTCATTGATACCAGACTCAACAAAGCTGTCTGGCCATAGTAGTAAGGAATGGCCATACTGTATCCATGTGCAGTGGGTGGTCCAGAAAACATAATAATAATGGAAATTCACCAAACAAGCTCTATACTTTGGTTACCTATGTACTTGTTACCACTTTCAGAGATCTACAGTGTGGATGTGAACTAACTTGCTGATCATCAAATACATGAATAAAGTTATAAAAACTGCCAAAAAAAAAAAAAAGGTTTAATACCCGTCTTCACTTTACTGGATTCTGTTAGTGTTTTCAAAACATTAAAGTTCTACAAATGTCAAGTTAAAATGATTAATGGGAATCATTAACCCAAACTGGTTTCCAAGTTTATGAAAAACAGTACAGTACAGATCACTGAATACCAGGTTGAGATGCTAGCTACTAGATCCAGATTCCTCGTCATCTTTTTTCACGACCTCTTCCCTTATTAATAATGGTTTTATTTCTTTATATTCACCCTTTAGATTACTTGGGAAATTCTGACAACTCTGTGCTTCTAGTCCCTTCTTTCCTAGAGATATTAATAAAGAACAATGGATGGGTGCGGTAGCTCATGCCTGTAATCCCATCACTTTGGGAGGCCACAGTGGGTGGATCACCTGTGGTCAAGAGTTTGAGACCAGACTGGCCAACATGGTGAAACCCCATCTCTACTAAAAATACAAAAATTAGCTGGGTATGGTGGTGGGCACCTGTAGTCCCAGCTACTTGGGAGGCTGAGACAGGAGAATTGCTTGAACTGGGGAGGTGAAGGCTGCAGTGAGCTGAGATTGTACCACTGAACTCCAGCCTGGGAAACAGAGGAGACTCCATCTCAAAAAAGAAAAAAACATTTACCAAATACTCAGTGCCAACCACTGAAAACATAATGAGCAAAAACAGATATGCTCTGGAAAACAGGTGAGCAGGAGAGGGGCAGAGACTCAATATATCCCTTAAATAGATGTGTAAATACATGTAAATAGCCCTTTTGGATACCATGAGAGCCACAGGTAGAGAACATAAGTATAAAAGAATGAAGTTTTTTTGGCCAGCAAATAAACTTGATGCCTATAATCCCAGCACGTTGGGAGGCCAAGACGGGTAGATCACTTGAGACCACGAGTTCAAGACCAGCCTGGTCAACATGGTGAAACCTCGTCTCTACTAAAAATACAAAAAGTAGCTGGATGTGGTGGTGGATGCCTGTAATCCCAGCTACTCAGAAGGCTGAGGCACAACAATCGCTTGAACGTGGAGGGTAGAGGTTGCACTGAGCTGAGATCGTGCCACTGCACTCCAGCCTGGGCAACAGGCAGGACTCCATCTCCAAAAAAAAAAAAAAAAAAAAAAAAAAAAAAAATTCTTGTGGAAGTGGGAAGCTGAGGCGGGACGATGCTTGAGACCAGGAGTTTGAGACCAGACTGGGTAACATAGCAAGACCCTGTTTCTACAAAAATTTAAGAATTAGTCCCCGGGCGCGGTGGCTTACGCCTGTAATCCCAGCACTTTGGGAGGCCGAGGCGGGTGGATCACGAGGTCGAGATCGAGACCATCCTGGTCAACATGGTGAAACCCCGTCTCTACTAAAAATACAAAAAATTAGCTGGGCATGGTGGCGCGTGCCTGTAATCCCAGCTACTCAGGAGGCTGAGGCAGGAGAATTGCCTGAACCCAGGAGGCGGAGGTTGCGGTGAGCCGAGATTGCACCATTGCACTCCAGCCTGGGTAACGAGGGAAACTCCGTTTCAAAAAAAAAAAAAAAAGAATTAGCCAGGTGTGCACCTATAGTCCCAGCTACTTGGGAGGCTGAGACAAGAGGATGTCGAGTCCAGAAGTCTGAGACCAGCCTGGGCAACACAGCGAGATCCTGTCCCAAAGAAAAAAGAAAACTGCAAAGTGGAGAAAAGATTTGAAAGAATCAAACACTAGGCCGGGCACTGTGACTCATGCTTGTAAATCCCAGCACTTTGGGAGGCTGAGGTGGGTGGGTCGCCTTTGCTCAGGAGTCAAGACAAGCCTGGACAACATGGCAAAATCCTGTCTCTACCAAAACCAAAAAATTAGCTGGGCCTGGTGGTACGTGACTATGGTCCTATACTTGGGAGGCTGAGGTGGGAGGATCTCTTGTGCCTAGGAGGCAGAGGTTGCAATGAGATCATGCTACTGTACTCTAACCTGGGTGACAGTGTGAGACTCTGTCTCAAAAACAATTATTAAAAAAAATCGAGGCAGGAATACAACAGTAACCAAATAAGATAATGAGTTCACATTGTAATAAAAGAGACAAGAAATGAACAAAAGTCCATTAAAACGTCAGGAAAAAACTCAACAGGATGAGTTACCGACTACAAGGGGAGAAGGGATTTGGAGCGGTTAGGAGATCCCTTTCCGAGAAGATAAGCTGAAACCTGTGCCAAGAGGGAAACAGCCATGCAAATACCGAGAGGCAAGAAAAAAACGAAAGGCCAGTGCAAAGATCGAGAGAGGGAAAGAAGTTGTCTTTCTGGAGAAGCAGTGAAGGACGCCAAGGAGGGTACTGAGAAGAGCAGTACCTTTGAGTGAGTAGGCAGGGACTTTATGCATAGAGTAGGGCCTCAAAGGCGATGGGGTTTTGTTTCTGCTTAGCTAGGAGGCCCCGAGCGAGAGCATCCGTAATGAACACGGGGAAGAGGAAAGCCACTGACTCGCAGGGTGACGGTGGGCAAGTTCCTGAATCTCGCCAACGCTCTTTCATCCCCTGGAAAATGGTTCGCTAACTGCCACATTAAACACCTGCGAGCCGGGCGCGTTGGCTCACGCCTGTAATGCCAACACTTTGGGAGGCCGAGGCGGGTGGCTCACCTGAGGTCGGGAGTTCGAGGCCAGCCTGACCAATATGGAGAAACCTCGTCTCTACTAAAAATACAAAATTAGCCGGGAGGTGGTGCACACCTATAATCCCAGCGACTCGGAAGGCTGACAGGAGAATCGCTTGAATCCTGGAGGCAGAGACTGCAGTGTGCCAAGATCGTGCCACTGCACTCCAGCCTGGGCAACAGAACGAATCTCTTTCTCAGAAATAAATAAATAAAAATAAACGGCTGCGAACTGGCCACAGTCAAGGCTTCGAGGCTGCAGCCGCAAGTTTACCTGTCCTCCAGGACCGACTCCATGGGCTCCACCCCGTCGGTGTCCACGGCGCGTAGCCGGTCGGCGAAGGCGATGGCTTTCTCCAGCCGCGCTACTGCCTCCCGGCTGCCGAAGTCCACAAGTGCTAGACGCTCCAGGTGCTCGATCATCTCGGCCGTGATTCGGCCACTGCCCTGGAAGAGGAATGAGGCGGGGAGTGTGGGTCACCGGCGGGACCCGGTGAATGTGAGTCACCGACGCTCCGGAGCGCTTCCCGGTTTGCTTCGCCACCCACCTAGATGGCCCTGGCCTTTACCTGAGGATCTGTCTTGGAGGTGAAGCCCCGGGGCCCGCCCAGCGGGGTCCGAAGGCCCAGCCACAACGCCCGCGCCCACATTTCTTCCTTCCTTGGCCCCCGTAGTGTGTCCGTGCGTAACGAGCGGCGTAGTGCGTCCGAGCGGCGCGACTCAGTGATGACATCAGAGTGCGCCGCCGTCGCCGCCGTCACCACTATCGCCATGAACAGTGTGGGGGAGGCATGTACCGACATGAAGCGCGAGTACGACCAGTGCTTCAATCGCTGGTTCGCCGAGAAGTTTCTCAAGGGGGACAGTTCCGGGGACCCGTGCACCGATCTCTTCAAGCGCTACCAGCAGTGTGTTCAGGTGAGCCCTCGCGCCTCAGTGCCTAGGCCCCGCGCTCTTCGCGCTGTCTCCGCCACACTCATCATACTTTACGGGGCTTGGGACTGGGAGGATGGCGAAAAGCTGCATCCTCCCCAGTGGGAGGAACCTTATCCCTTACCATCACCACCGAGGCCACTTGGGTGTCTCTCCGAATGACAAATATTGGTGCAGTGCTTTTCTTTTTAGGAAGCACAGTCGGCCGGGCGCAGTGGCCCACACCTGTAATCCCAGCACTTTGGGAGGCCAAGGTGGGCGGATCACCTGAGGTCGGGAGTTCGAGACCCGCCTGACCAACATGGAGAAACCCCGTCTTTACTAAAAATACAAAATTAGCCGGGCATGGTGACATGCCTGTAATCCCAGCTATTAGAATTGCTTGAACCCGGGAGGTGGAGGTTACAGTGAGCCGAAATCGCGCCATTGCACTCCAGCCTGGGCAACAAGAGCGAAACTCCGTCTCAAAAAAAAAAAAGACACAGTCACATCCTTTGGTTCATTTGGTGTTCATCCTAAACTTGCAAGGTGGGCATCCTCATTTTTTTTTTTTTTTTCTTTTTTTTGAGACGGAGTTTCGCTCTTGTTACCCAGGCTGGAGTGCAATGGCGCGATCTCGGCTCACCGCAACCTCCGCCTCCTGGGTTCAGGCAATTCTCCTGCCTCAGCCTCCCGAGTAGCTGGGACTACAGGCACGCGCCACCATGCCCAGCTAATTTTTTGTATTTTTAGTAGAGACGGGGTTTCACCATGTTGACCAGGATGGTCTCGATCTCTTGACCTCGTGATCCACCCGCCTCGGCCTCCCAAAGTGCTGGGATTACAGGCTTGAGCCACCGCGCCCGGCCGCATCCTCATATTTTATAGATAGAGAACTAACACACAGAAGTAGGAAGTGATTGGTCCTGGTTCACTAGAATCAGGTTGCCTTGATTCTTTCGCAGGTGGTGCACTTTTCCACTATTACTGCTGGAGTCTCGGCGGGGTTATACTTCAGACTGGAGGATCACATTGTTTTGTCGTTATAAACCCTTCGATAGTTTCTCTCTCTCTACCAGTACCCCCAGCTGCAGATAGGAAATGGTCATTCTAGCCTAATGGATGTGGAACTGCTTTGAACTGTAAGAACAGCACTGGGCAAAAGCACTTCCAATAAGTTAACCTAATACATCCTCACGGTAGTTCCCCGAGGTAGTCGCTGTCTTTATCCCATTTACAGTTGAGGGAAGCGAGGGTGGCTCATAGCCAGTAAGTCCTGGAACTCAGATTTGAACCTGAGTCTTTCAGTAACACAGTGATACCATTTTTCAAACTTCACTTAATTTTAACGGTTCCCTCACAACTCCTTTTCCAGTCTCCCTCAGGTCTTAACGCTTGATTTATTCATTATGGTACTTCCGGTTTTTATTTATTTATTTTTGAGGCAGAGTTTCGCTCTGTTGCCCATGCTGGAGTGCAGTGGCATGATCTCAGTTCAGTGCAGCCTCTGCCTCCTGGGTTCAAGCTATTCTCTTGCCTCAGCCACCTGAGTAGCTGGGATTACAGGAATGCGCCACCATGCCCAGCTAATTTTTGTATTTTTAGTAGAGATGGGGTTTCGCCATGTTGGCCAGGCTGGTCTCTAACTTCTGGCCTCAAGGGATCCACCTGCCTCTGTCTCCCAAAATGTTGCAATTACAGGTGTGAGCCACCATGCCCGACCAGTACTTGTTTTTTAAAAAGTATGTAGTTTGAATAATGGTTATGAATCTTTATAGTCAGCTTGACTTTACTTTTGTGCCGTCATATTTTATTTACAAAGCTTGCAACTCAAGCTTCATATAGGTCTTCAAAATGTGTTTTCTCCTCTTACCAGAAAGCAATAAAGGAGAAAGAGATTCCTATTGAAGGACTGGAATTCATGGGCCATGGCAAAGAAAAGCCTGAAAATTCTTCTTGACCTTGATAGTCACCATGAAGGAGTCCTCAAGTCCAGAAATTGAGAACTCTGGATTTTTGTCACTTGAATCTGTGAAGATAGCCATCAGATTTGATGAGGAACTGAGGCGAGAGGAGTTTTATTTCCTCCTTCGATGTTTTCCTCTCAATTGTAAAAGATGATGAACTCTTTTGAGATTATTTTTCACCTGCTCAGGCATCTTGCAGGAACTCAGTGTGCTAAAATTGAAGAATTTTTTGAAATTATGGTTGCAATACTTGGTCTGGAATCAACTTCACATAAATATACCTTGTATGCAAATAATGATAAACTAGTTAGAATGAGCAGAGGTGCCTGACCTCTTGATTTCTGCTGCAAAGGACATTATATGCACTGTACTGGGGTCATTGTTCATAAAAGCAATTGGTTAGGGCCTCTTTTTTCTCTCAGGGAACTAATGCTCTGAAAAGGGATCTGGGCACAAGAGTTTCAGGAAGTGCTTTTGAGCACACTTTTATTTTTATATGGTGACCAGTGGTTAAGATTGCTGGTGGCCTGGATTAGCAAAGAGGAAGACAACTTTTAACACAGTTCCCTGCCTTCACAAGAGGTGTCAGATTAAGATGTGTAAGCTACAAGAATGTTGCAGTGAACACCATTTCAGAGCTTTCAGTGCTGTCTTAATTCTTAGTTCAGGAATTAAGATACTTGGAATAGCTGTGGAGGAAGAACCTAAATTGCAAAGGTCTGCTGTTGCCAGCTATTAACCCAAGTCAGTGAATTGTCAACTGCATATCCTAAAAATGTCAAAATGCTGCATCTGGTTAAATGGGGGGGGAAGCTGAAGGTGCTTGCTTTATTTGCCTTGTACTCATCCTGCCCTATAATGTCTGTAATCATGAAGATGGAATAAATTGTAACATTTTCTATCATTATATGCCTCTGGAACTCAGTGCATTTTATGGAACTATTACCCTGTTATCCTACAAACCTCATATATACACAGGGAGTTTTGTGTTTTGTTAAAGGTGAGGGAAAAGTGACTTGTCTAAGCTAGGTGGTACTATATGGCCATCAGAAACCTCACTGTTTTTGAGACAGTCTCACTCTGTCACCCAGGTTGGAGTGCAGTGGCGCAATCTCAGCTTACTGTAACATCCACCTCCTGGGTTCAAATGATTCTTCTGCCTCAGACTCCCGAGTAGCTGGGATTACAGGTGTACACCACAATGCTTGGCTAATTTTTGTATTCTTAGTAGAGACAGGGTTTCACCATGTAGGCCTGGCTGGTCTTGATCTCCTGACCTCAGGTGATCTGCCCGCCTCCGCCTCCCAAAGTGCTGGAATTACAGGCATGAGCCACCACACCCAGCCAAAACCTCACTATTTCTAAAATTTATTGCCACAATGGGCTACACAAATATATTATGGTACCAAAAGTCAGGCTCAGAAGATAACTTGTGGACTTTAGAACATCACGTAATCCCCACAATTGTGTAATTTAATTTTATTATATGCCCCAAAATAGTATGAAGGTTGAATTACAGGCCGGGTATGGCGGCTTATGCCTGTAATCTTAACACTTTGGGACACCGAGGTGGGTGGATCACTTGAGCTCAGGAATTCGAGACCAGCCTGGGCAACATGGCGAAACCCCATCGCTACAAAAAAATTAGCCAGGTATGGTGGTGTGTGCCTGCAGTCCCAGCTACTTGAAAGGCTGAGATGGGAGACTCACCTGAGCCTGGGAGGTGGAGACTGCAGTAAGCTGTGATTGCACCGCTGCACTCCAGCTTGGGTGATAGAGAAAGACCGTCTGAAAAATAAACTTGATTTATAGAAGGCCCTAATTCTATTGTCTTTTCTCCACTTTACCAATTGCTACATCATATTTAATGTGACTTGACTTTAGACATCATTTCAAAACATTCTTCATTTATATTTTATGACTGGCTAGGGTCCGTTATCCAAGGATTACAAAAGATGTTTGGAACCCAGCCAAGTGAGGCCAGGCAGCAAGCTGAAGTACGTATAATACATCTATCTTAAACTTAGACTGGCTTCAAGCAAAACAGCTCTATAGGGACTCAGAAGTGCAGGCTGTTATATCACAAAATAGCAAAGATAATGAAATTCTCTATTCTGTACTGTATATACCTTACCTTTGCATTACCAGTTTAATGTAATATACCATGAAATACCTCGTTGCCTCTTGAAGCTTACCACAAGTGTTCCTTTGAGCCTTAAGAATAAACCAGCTCTGGCCAGGCACACTGGCTCACGCCTGTAATCAGGTCTTTGGGAGGCCAAGGCTGGCAGATCACCTGAGGTTAGGAGTTCAAGACCAGCCTGGCCAACATGGCAAAACCTCATCTCTACTAAATATACAAAAAAAAGTAGCCAGGCATGGTAGTGCACGCCTGTAGTCCCAGCTATTCAGGGGGCTGAGGCAGAAGAAGTGCTTAAACTCAGGAAAAGGAGGTTGCAGTAAGCTGAGATTGTGCCACTGCACTATGGCCAGCATGACAGAAAGACTCCATCTAACAAAAAGTGGTTTAAAAAAAAATTTTTTTTTTGAGAGAGAGTCTCATTCTGTTGCCAGGTTGGAGTGCAGTGGCGCGATCTCAGCTCATTGCAACTTCCACCTCTCAGGTTCAAGTGGTTTTCCTGGCCCAGTCTCCCAAGTAGCTGGGACTACAGGCACGTGCCACCATGCCCAGCTAATTTTTATATTTTTAGTAGAGATGGGGTTTCACTATGTTGGCCAGAATGGTCTCCATCTCTTGACCTCGTGATCTGCCCACCTGGGCCTCCCAAAAAGGTTTTAAATTTTGATGTGCAATTAATTGCC